TGAGAAAGCGTGCCGAAAAATTAACAGTTTCAATTAAAAGCTCTTAAAATAGACAAGACAAATCTGATGATTTTCTTCAAGGGGAGAAAATTTTTTGGATCCATTCTTTTTTGTTGTTGCTGTTCTATTTTTGGTAGGAAACATTTGTTTAGTCATATACCCAATTTGGGGGCTATTGCTAAAAGCTGTAGCCTGGCCTCTTGTGTCTTTTTCCTCCTTCCACCATATGCTGCTCTGACTTGCCCATACATCACTGCACAAGGTTGTCGGATCCTCCCTCTAGGGCTCCGACTAAATACAGACAGAAACAACCATACAGCTCCATCCATCTTACCCCAAAAAAGATTGCAACCAAGCCAACAAGTTTCCAGTCAAGACCTTGAAAACATCCCTTATTTTTTTTTTAATGTTATCACAAGCTAGGTTATTAACAGCACTAAATTAAATACTGATGTGAGGTCAGTTCAAATTTTTGGCCCAATGGAAGAGAATAAAACATCTGCAGGAAACACATTTCTTTGCCATTGTGCTTGACATGGGAATTAATGGGTGCAATTCTATGGTCCATGTTATGCAGGAGATCAGACAAGATGATCATAGTGGTGCCATCTGGCTTTAAAAATCTATGAATCTACATTTAAATTCTCACTTGAACTTAGGTAACCTCTCTCTAAGCCCATCTGCATGTTGAATATTCCCTTTAAAAGGCAGTTGCTAGCTAGCCAAGTGTATTTTACTAGCCTCAATCAGCCTCATTTTATGTAGTCCCTGACAATGCTATGCTGACATTTTATTTAGGAGAGCACTGAATTTTGGCAATAAAAAAAAAGAGAATAAAATCAAACACAAAGTCAAGCATTTACACCTGTAAATGCAAATAATGGAAAAAATAATGAATTAACAGTCTCAGCAACAACTGCACCATGGTGGGGGACAACTGCCCAGGTGTGAGCAATCACCAGCTCCAAGATATGGAGAGAAACCTGAGGTTCTCAACAACGAAGGGGTCACTGGTGATTGTGTACAAGAGCTCCAGGGAATGTATTCAGCTGAGATGGGAGATGAGGACCTACACAGAAGTTGGTCCTCTTCAAAGCAAAAGAAAAGGAAGCCATGAGATTTTACGTGGGACAAGTCTAGAAGCACATAAAGGTGAACATATTGCACCTCTTCTCACAAGTTATCGAAACTTTGCTCCCTCTGAAGAACACTATTTCACACAAAGCCTTTCTCTTCCTCAGGATTTACTCTCTGGAGTCACAGTGCAGAAAGCCTTGGGCAGTTAGTGAGGATTCAAGGACCTCTACTCTATGAAGCATGACCTAAACAGAAAATAGTCCACCCAAATGTGCAGGCACGAGGCACGTAGGGTCAGAAACTCCTCGGCTACAACAGGTAGCAAAGCGGCCCCCAAAAGACAGGTTATTAGCTAGGTTAGAGAAGTTATTCAACAGACTGGGCCCACAAGGTCTTTCATATGCCCTCTAAAGCATGCATATATATGAAGGAAAAGACGATGTTCTTGAAGCACCTCACTTGAACATAGATCAGTAGAAGGCCCCTGATAACACAGCAGGACTTGGATTATACAGCAGTTCTTTATGGGTCTCAAAGCAATTCAGAGATGCAGTATTAGAGACCTCTGCAGAATTTGCTTACTCTTGGCTTGGTGGGGTCTAACAAGATTTCCTTGCTACAAAGGCAGAAAGGACTCGCAACTTTTTAAAAACAGCTATTCTTGATGGTTTTATGGGAACAATAAGAGTCTGATCCAAAATCTATTGACTCAGTATTGTTTGCTTTGCACATAGAGGCAGCAAAGAGGAGAGGGATACAAATAGATTAGCAGCAGAAAGTTTTATTCATAAGCTTTTTTAACTTGTAATCTAAAGGTTCCTCACTCTGTTGGATTTTGGTTCCCATGAAAACAAGTTTTTTATGATCAAAATGTGGGTTATTTCTGGTGAGGTTACTTGGGGAAATGTATTCATGAAGAGCCTGCATCCTGCTGATGCAAAACAAATACAAATAAAGAGACAAGCAAGGAAGGGGATCTGGAGAGAAACAAGTAATGAAAGGAACACTTTGGGCACAATCTGTTATTTGTTGTTATACTGTGTCCACACACTTCTCCCTTATTCTCAGCACTGCTCATTTTAATTGTCCCCTGAAGAAACCGTTCTGTAGATACATCCACCAGGAGCAAAGGCCCTGCCGGGGCAACCAAATTAATTTCTCTGTTGGAAGCAGAGATGTGACTTAAAATCCCAGAACAATGTACTTTAGCAGCCCAGACCATCTTTCATTATGATGACTATTACCTTTCCAGTTGGAAAACTGAAAGCCCTGCTAGCATGAATAGCAAATCCGTAATAAAGGGTTAATGGGTCTGACTGCAACATTTTCTCAATTTTGTCAAATTTGTAAGAGCTCTTTTAATTGTGACAACAAGGCCTTGCTTAAAGATCTATCGTGCGTGAAGCAGGTAGCTTCGTAGAGCAGAACTTTGGAGTCAGCTCTGGGTTCAGATTTAAAAAGGAACTTTGCCTCAGAGACTGGAGCAGCAGGGTCAAGATCACTGCTCTGCAATCCAAACTAGCACATGGCAAGAGCTTGCCAGCTCCTGCTTTTCTCTTTCAAGAAAAAAACAATATTATGTTATATTTGTGACTGCAGCAACAGAATCTAGATGGAGTTCTATATGCACCTACACCTAAAAACATCTATGGAACTCACAGCAATGTCAAAATATTGTGTGTGTGCCTTATTCCTATCAAGGGAATCCCTGAAATATTTGTGTTTCTCCTTCATAGTAAACATGTTATCTAAAGGAATAGACATTTTGTATCTTCATATGATTTATAAGCAGTAAGAGAAAGTTTATGAATTTATTGTAAAAAAAATAAAACCAGAAGAACTCTAAAAATAAAAATAGAAGAAGTCTACTCTTTCCTTCCTTTGGCACAATAGCCAATACTGCCCCACAACAGAGAAAAAATGTAATAGAAAAGCAGGATGACTGCATTTAGCACTGCCACCTCTTCGTGAACACCTTCAGTGTTGAAAATGAGGACATTTCTGACTGAGAATTGCTTGGGCAACATACCTCATATATATGTATATATAAATATATGCATATATAAATATATACATATATACGTTTAGCTGAAAATGCCCTCTCCCTGTGTGAACAGATACTGTCACCAGAAAAATTGAAACCATCTTTAGAGCAGTACATCTGTCAATATGGATAATGTGTATGCATGTGTGTATATATAGATATATCATCCTTTCCCATACATCAACCTTTTCTGTAAATATTAGTAAGAAAACATGGGAAAGGAAGCCTGATTTGTGGGGCTATTATGTATTTTCCTCTTAGTCCTATACATCTCTCCATTATCAAAGCTTTGTTTTGCAGTACCTGCGTATCCAGAGGTCATGGAAAAATGTGACAAGTGACACTCGGGGGCACTTCAGATGGCATCGCATTCATTTCCAGTAGGCTACAAATGGAGCTGAATGCTTTTCAAAGCCCTATCCTGGGCGCATTGCCTTGTGTTCATTGTACTTTAAATTGTTATGCACATTGCTCAAAAATATAATCCCTTGCAAAAGAGAAGAAAAATATAATCCTTCAAGCGTCTGACCTTTGTTGAATTGTTCAGTGCAATTTGTGAAGTCAAATAGCAAAGTTTAGCTGCGCCTGCCACCTCTACTGCTAAAACAGTCCTTATGTTTAAAACAATATCAAGGAGTGCAGGGCGCTCAGTAAAATCCTAATTTATGACAAAAAAAATCTGTTTAGTTAGCACAAACCTATTAACTCAGCTGAAAAGACTGACAGTAATTGCCACTGGCTAAGGGTTGATAAGAAAACTCAGTCTACTAATTTGAAATAAAATTCACAGACTGGCAAAGCTATGTCAGACAAGAGAACCAAAGATAGCTGCACTTGCTTTATTCTAATTCTAAGGTGAAAGAAAAGAAAGGAATTCATAATATTTGCACTATAGCAAAAAAAGACCTTTTCCAAGGGATAACATTAAAGCCCTTTGTATCTTATTCCATCCAAATCTGCTCCCAGAAGAATGAACTTTTTGTTAAAAAAAATAAATAGATGGCATTAAATTTGACCTAGTAATGCTGGCACAGGCTTCGTGCTGCAGGCACCAAGGCTCTGGTGTCCAGAACTACTGAGATGTTCTAATGGATTTTAACTATCATCTGGATGAAAAATAAGCAAATGAGGAACCCTGCACCAATGGGGAGAAGAGGCTGCATCCACCCATCCCTGTTAGGTCTTAGGTTTGAACCAACATCAGGACAATTTGAAGATCTACAAGACCTGGAACCTTTCAGAACAGCCCGCCCTTAACTTCAACTCTTGGGAACGAAAAAAATATGGAAAATACTCAATATTTAAAAAAAATAAATAGATGGCATTAAATTTGACCTAGTAATGCTGGCATAGTCTTCGTGCTGCAGGCACCAAGGTTCTGGTGTCCAGAACTACTGAGATGTTCTAATGGATTTTAACTATCTGGATGAAAAATAAGCACATGAGGAACCCTGCATCACTGACTGCACCAATGGGGAGAAGGGGCTGCATCCACCCCTATCATCTGGATGAAAAATAAGCAAATGAGGAACCCTGCACCAATGGGGAGAAGAGGCTGCATCCACCCATCCCTGTTAGGTCTTAGGTTTGAACCAACATCAGGACAATTTGAAGATCTACAAGTCCTGGAACCTTTCAGAACAGCCCTCTGGTAACTTCAACTCTTGGGAATGAAAAAAATATGGAAAATACTCAATATCCAATAGTGCCATCTTCTTTCTCCGTGGAGAATCTCTTGAGCTCTCCCTGCCTGGGCTTTGGCCCTTGTCCTTCAGTCCTGCTATCTGACAATGCT